TTTTTTTTTGTGGAAAGTTTGAGGAAATTCGGTAGGGACGGTAGGGATTGCTGTATTCGGGAAGATGCTGGGGTAAGATGGGGAAAGGAGGTTGTACTGGAAGAAGAAATTCCTTGAGGATCCTATGGTGATCGTACTGACACCTCTATTTCGAACTTCACAACGCCGTAGATTAGTGGGGAGAGGGTAAAGAGCGTGGGGGTTCGAAAAAATACAGTCTTGTTCGCTGCAGATGCTGAGGCGGGTCAGGGGCAGGGTCCGTTCTCCACCAACTTCTTAGCAGGACAAGCGACATATTTGCAGTGTAGGTGCCAAATGACTTTGTAGTGAACGGAAAATCGTAAGTTACTGCCTTAAATAAGACCCTCTCTTCTGCTGACTATTTTGAGCGCTGCGATACCTGGTAAAACTTTGAGCGCCCAGGCGCGTGAGCAGACAGCAAACAGACGGCGTGATTTGCTACGCGTCCTTGGCAGTGGGCGTTCTCGACCCCAAGTGGGTGGTCATCGCCCTTTGCTTACGATACGCTTTCAGACCACCACTATGGTACAGCCTCTTCATTTTGCGGACCAGCACCTTACATTCTTGTTCACCGCGGATGGTGGGGCTTATCAAGGGGCTGAGTTTGGCGCGCTGCCATACACCAGTTATTTTCGTTTACCACAGATACTTCCCACAAACAACCGTGGAGTGTGCCTTCAGAGAATATTTGATTTACTTTTTTCAGATCTTGGTCATGCGTGACAACGACCTCTTGACTATCCCGCGAGAGATTGGACATCTTACCAATCTGAAAGAATTGCATATTCAAGGTGAGCTTTGCAGTTACTAACCAATATTACTCGACTACAGTAACCCATCGTTATTACTATGGTTGTTACCTTACACTAGCCATATAATCAGTTGCATCAGTCGCAGAATCTACAGCTCAGCTGTTGAATCTAAAACAGGGCTTGAGATTTCGAATTTGTTTGGTAAAATTAAAGGCGGAGGTGGTGTAGTGACAAGTGGCGCGCTTACCACTCGCGCGGCGCCGGGTTCGAATCCCGGGTCGACACCCGCCCAGGCCAACCAAGCCTTCTACCCTCCGGGGGTAAATTGGTACCAGATTCGTCTGGGAGGATAAAACACTGACTTGTACATCGGCTGGCCACCGCAAGTCATTGTATAGGCCACATCGCATTCAATAAGCCACTACGATTCTGAATGGAAGTAGAATGCGTGCCGCATCCCACAAAGGGATTGATCAACGGCGAAGACTTTATCCTTTATCCTTATCCTTTGGTATTAAAGGCATGCTCCACGCTAATCGTGTGGGCGGAGAACATCCTCCGGCGCGTTCTTACCTGGCGCCTTGTATCTCCCTCATGAGCGCGCATTATCTGTTCACTCTCCTTGAACGATGGACGCGAAAGTGGGTGGGCACAAAGATTGATCATACCCGCGATTTCTAGCACCCTGGACCATGTCTTTGCATCCCGCGTTATTCTTAATCGGTCTTCATGACGTACTACCTTCCACTGTATTTTACAGGTAACCGCCTCACCGTTCTACCACCAGAAGTTGGAGCGCTTGATCTAATAGGAAATAAGCAGGTGCTGAGGCTAGAGCACAACCCTTGGGTACCAAGTATCCAGGTAAGAAGATTTAAGCAATAAGAAATATGTACAAAGGAACTATCAAAGTATAAAAGTCATGCGCTTATGAAGAAAATTGATGATCGAACTTGCGATTGTAGATTGTATAATTCATGGATCCCTCTTGCGCGCGGTCGCGATGCGAATCATTTGGTACACGAAGAACAGAAACAAACTTTTATGTGAGCAGCTATGGGGGTGTCGTTCTCTCGCTGTGTAGGTGCAAACGGAAAAGCTCATACCATAGTAGAGCCCAGGGCAAGAGAGTTGAATAAAAGAGGCAAGATGAGTTGCGACGTGGCAGCTAGGAGAGTGCAGACACCATCACAAAACGCTAATTCGTATAACTTTCGCAGGCGAGCCCCGAGACGCGTCGCATCAGCACGCGTCATTGACCCGCGATTTCCCACGACGGTTTATCCTGCCGAGCAAACACATTATTGTGCTAGTAATCGTGAAGTCATAGGGGGGGGGGCTAAAGGAATCCTTGTGTAGAACGAGAATTGACATAATGAAGACAAGGACTTTTGCTTAGGCTTGAAGGATGGAAAGGCTTCACTGTAGGTGAACCATCTCATAGCGCTGTAATTCTATTCAGACGACGGTCACACCAGTGTTGCACCAATTACTCTTCTTGCACTAGAAGGGGAGGGGGGCGGGGGAGGAAGGGCGAGAGACTACCACACCGCGCCTTCGCTATCCAAAAGGTTGAGCCGGAGCGGCTGACGTCCACAATTCACCGAGAGGGTGAGTGTCGCAGAGAGAACACACAATTTCACTAACTTAATTCTGAGTTCGAGGAAGCGGATACGGGAGGCGCTATTGTAGCTATCTCCCAATCTTATCTCCAAATCACCCCCCCCCCCTCCCAACTGCATTAGCGCCAAGGTAACCTTGTGCAAAACTGGGGTTACTGCCATCTGAACGTACTTCAAATCGGTTCACCCGCCCTGGAACGCTTTCCATCCTTCAGCCCTGAGTTAAATTCATCAACTTCCTTGCTTCAGTCCACGCATCACAGAGGGAGTCCTTTGAATGCCCCCCCTCCTCTCTCGAAAGATTAGAAGATTATTAGTCCTCACATTATCAGAGAATCTTGGCAAAATCTCCAAAAGTATATAATGACAGTCACGGTACACGGAATAACGAATTTCAGGAACAGTTTGATGCCAGAGGTGCCCAAGGAGTCATGGATTTCATACGTAGTGATCAGTACAAGTACTTCTATGGACGTCAGGTAGTAAAAAGTTTCTTTGAATATACATCTAGGTGCAGTTTGGCTTGGTGGGGGCACCAAAGTATAGTCAGCTAGGCTTTCACAGGTTAAATTGGGAAAACCTGTAAAATCCAGTGACCATAGCGGCTTTCTCGGCCATTTCGCAGCTTCACAGGAGTTTACAGGCAGTGCAAAATGCGCTATCCAAGCCGAACAGCGCCTACGTACGTACGTATACTTTCCAGAATGTGCTTACGTTACTGCGGTATTTTTTAAAAACCTATTTTAGGAAGTCATTACGGGTCCAGTGCCACCGAAACGAAACAAGGACAGAAAGCTCTCACGAAAGCAGCATCAGTCGCAGTGCGCTTAGGGAGACGCGCGCGCGATCGTGACTGAACCTCCAACCAATCGAT